TTTCCAACAAAGACTGTCAAAGAGCCGCTGTATATTTCTTCTTCCTTAAATTCCTACAATCTCCGTCGTTTAGTTTTCTTTTCTTCGACAACATCTCGAGTTTTATACAGTATCCGATCGAAGGAGTTTTTATTTTGAATATCAAATTTCAAATAGTGTAAACAGTCGCTATCACGGTTGCGATTGGCTGGCTGTTGCCGGAAATATCTGCTTCCCCCCCTGTAAATCCAACGGTAAAGAAGACCTGGTTGCGCAGACGTTCGCCGTAGTAATTTTCGGCCTGGGCAAGTTCAATATAAAATGGGTTTTGATTTCCATTGTTAAAATATGGTCCAAAACTTGTACATCTCTCCGAAGTATCTCCGCATTTTCGAAGAACGGCATCTGTTGTGCATGCTGGCGAATTTTTTTGGAGAATAAAGCGATTTGAGTATGAGAATTTTCGATTCGAAGTGCCGTGCCGTCGGATCGACGATCGGAAATCGTTAGCCTTTATCATGTTTCATGTATACTAGTAACATCAAGTACAAAGTCTCGGAAAATATTAGTCCAACAAAGGAGGAATAAAAGGAGAACACACACTATCAAATAGGCAAGTCAATTTCATTTTAAAATTTATATTTTATGACATATTTTTACTATAATATACATTACTATAATATACATTTATACTATAAGTCTATACTGACCCTTGCGAGATTGGGCCGCCTGTGCTTCCACGTACAAAAATCTACAAACTATATATTGTATATGACCAAGCACATGGAATAAAAACAACTACCCCTAACTCATCCGGGCATTTAAAATAAATTATCATAAATTACCGTAATTACCGTCTCGATCCTATACACTGTATATCCAAATGTCGTCAAATTTCTTTTACCGACTAATTTCGAGGTATTATTTACTGTGATTTGGTTCATTTTTTAATTTGGGCACTTTTTACTTCATAGCGGTAAAAGTGTTATTATACTTATATTAGTGCTCCAAGAGGAAAAGCTATGAAAATCCCTTGCACGTCCTAGCTTATATTCCAAGGCCAAACGGCACTTAAAGTTGGTAAGAGGATTATTAATTAAAGTCTTACGATGTGAGATGGCTAGAATTTTTTCCACTGTGACATTTTACGCCAACAACTAACGGTACTGGCGTAAATTTGGAGCACAATAAGTTATATAGTTATTTACTGTGACATTCTATGACAATAACTACTGGCGTAAATTTGGAGCACAATACATCGTTTTATACTGTGACATTTTATGCCAATAACTAATGGCATAAATTTGGATCACAATACACTGTTTAGTGTAACATTTTATGCCAATAACTACTGGAGTAAATTTGAAGCGCGAAAGCTTATTTGCTGTGACATTTTGTGCCAATAACTACTGGGATAAATTTGGAGCACAATACATTGTTTACTGTGACATTTTATGCCAATAACTACTGGCGTAAATTTGAAGGGCGAAACAGTGGCGTAACGTTATATCAGGGGGGCCCCGGTTCAAAATTTTCGAAGGCCGCCTAGTAGAAGTGCCAAAGCCACGAGTCGAGTGCCGTACATGCACGAGTTTTCTAGGGGGTCCAGGGCATGCTCATCCGGAAAATTTGTGAATCTAGACTCTCTGAAATGCCATTTCCTGGACTTTGGGGACAGATTTTACAGAATTCTGATGGTCAGAAAACGACATTGTAACATATCAGAGGCCCTGGCCAATGTTTTCGCCCAAGCCTGGGAGCCCTCATTTGGCTCATTGAGGTTGGGGGGGGGGGGCGGGTTCTCCCGGTCTGAGCCCATAGTAGTTACGCCACTGGCGCGAAAGTCTGTTTACTGTGACATTTTATTGGCAACTACTGGTGTAAATTTGGAGCAGAATACGTTATTTACTCTGACATTTTAAAGTTCTTGGTCCAGTGGGCTACCAAGAAGGTTTGTATTTCTTTGAATTGGTTATTATTATTCAGTATGAACATTCGTTTACAAACGAAGTTCAAACATTGAAATGAACTTGCGAACTTTGTTGCGAATTTTGCGCCCAATTTCCGAACTTGGAAACGTACAGTAATTGGCACGTTCGCAACGAACTTGGAAACCACGCGTTGAAAAGTGACTTGAAATCGACAATAAATCTTGTTGAAGAATGAAAGTGGAGATACATCATAATTTGTGTTGCGTTGCTATCTAATCAACGTACTGTATCTAATCAACGCTACCTGATCAATAATGTTAATTTGGATGACTTTTAGACTCCCTAGACCGTCCCCTCCCAACAGCCGCCTACTTTATTAAAACAGACACCTACTCTGAATAATTCTGAAAGCCCTGTCTTTGACCATTAATATTTCTAAGCTTAAATTTGCTCGATCTGAATAAATTGACTATAGCTATAGCAAGAATATTTCATAGCAAAATGTTCTCTCTATTTAATCGTTGTACGTTTTTAATCGTATATACAGGGACCGGGGGGGCTGGGGGTGCTTTAGCCCCCCCACTTTTTTTGACAGCCAAAATGATTAAAATAGAAATCTAAATGAAACTTTCTAAATTAATTAAACCTTTTCTAGGCATTTTTAACTTTCGCATCTAATTAAAATGAATAAAGGCTAAGCACCCCATTATGTGTACCTTACATCAAAAAGGTCTAAATTTTGTTACTTTTTATGACGATGGTCTTGGAGATTTTTTGCTAAAGTTCCTCCAAAAATGCAGGAAATAGCGTTTAAGGTAATAGAAAATTGAACATTTTCCTTGGGGGTTTTATTGATGATTTAGCCCCCCCCCCCCACTCTCTAATACGCTCCGCGGGCCCTGCTATAGACATTGTCTGAACACTCATAAGAAAACATATTCGTATATAAACTTGAAACACTGACAACTTTAGGTAAAGTTACCTACAGATAAAAATTCGACACAAGGTTCTAAGACAACAAAGTCATATATTATCCAGAGCCTGCAAGTAAATTCTGTCTCCTTGTATCATAATATTAAGACAGCATTCAATGTTGTTTTTGACCAATCGATCAGTGCCATCAGTGGGATATTTTTGGAAGTTAAAACTGCCCATATTAACTCATAAAAGCACATTGTTTGCCTCTAGATTGAACACTAAAAAGGTGGCCTTGATGTATTTTATAATTAGAAGAAAGAAATAGAGCCATGCTTACCTGAATTTTTCCGAATATTTTCGATCTCTTGCATCCGTATGAAAAGCTTGTAAAATCTTTTGATTCTTGAAGCACATGGAGATACGTGCGCAATACAAAATCTTGTTTTGACCGCTCCCCTCATTTAACAAACGTTCCTGAAGCTTAATTATCCCCCCCCCCCGGATTACGACATCTTTACAAACAGACATAGCCTCCTCCGCAGGCATCTCCTAGTTCACGTACTTCAGAAAGTTGGATAATCGAAAGGCGATGCCTGCGGAGGAGGCTAAGACAGACACAAGATCTCGATCTCGACAATACATAACTCGCGCGAAAGACTGGATCGAGTGAACTCTGGAGAAACCACCGCGTGTCAAGAATAGTGTGCTGCCTCGCTGCGCTCGGCAGCAATTATAATCTAGAAATTAGAATATTGAGATTAAAATACGGATGCTGAAGAAATTATGAACAATAAAGGAACTTATTGCCACAGCGATAAGAGTTTTTACTGCTTCCCGGAATAATTTATAGTTGAAATTAATTATGCGAGTTAATTTAAGTACAGTCACGTGATTGGAAGTTTCGGTATTTATCAGTGGTGAAGCGGGCCACCTTTCCTTTCCTATTCCACGAAGACTGCAGTTCACATCAAGAAATTAGATGGAAAAGATTTACCCACCTTCTTCCCCGTTGTTGGACGCTATATGTTGAACTTATATATATAGATACGTTATGTGTAGTGGGCGTTAGTAATACCCCCACCTTTTCTGTGTTAAATGTTATATAGTTATTAACTAATATTTTTTTATTAATTATTAAAAATTGATTAAAACGACAAAGCGGCTATGTGCTAACAACCGGGCACATAAGCCATAATTATTCCATAAAGGCTTTGACTGCATGGTCTTGTAGTATTTGGCCGCACAGAAAACCGAACTCAACCTGACAAACAGTTTACCGATGGTGGTTTAATATATGCAGGGAAGCGATAAAGAAATATATATACAGTATAGTCTTCGCTTCATGTCACCAAATCATATTGCTTATTGAATAAGATGCCGACCGCCTTTCACTAAATTATTTATTGTCACATAGTTAATCCACCAACATGTGTCAGTTGATCTTCACTACAAAGTATAATCAGCCGATAGTAAAGTTTGTGAACATTTCCCAAACGAAAGTTCCTTAATGTAGCAAGGTAATTGGAAATGAGCACGTGCGTTTGTCTTTTTCCAAATGAACTCTACCTGCACTATTTCTGCCAAAGGTTATATAGTCAACTGCAGTATCAAAACTAGACTCCGAAGTATAAAGTCTGTAATCAGATTCTTGGAGAAGAAAGTAATCGAGAAACATTGTAAACTGTCCAGCATCTTCTTTACCTTTCGTTGAACGTCCAATATGTTCAATGGGACCAGTGATATGTCTCACTTTATTGCCATATTTTTTTTTTGCATAAGTCCTCATCCAATCGATATCAACGGCTAAAAACCAAATAATTTTCTTTGTTTGATATTTCTCCCCGATTTTTTTCTCGATTTTCTCTGCACATTCAAAACAAAAGTCATAATCCTTTGTTCCATTTAATCTTACATCCCATTGGTTAAAATGACCAGCAAAAATCGCATCTCCATGACGAATATGTATAGCTAGGACTATATTATCGTTGAAACCTAACTCTTCTTTCCATTCATCCAGGCGTTTCTGCAACGGATCAGATTTCTTGAACAAGTAGTAAAAATTACATCCATTCATGTGGAATGGAAACGTTGATTTTTTATAATTATACTTTATAAGGTTTGGAAGAACTAAGTGACCAAAGCTCATGAAATGTGGAGAGTATTCTATATCGTAAGTCAACATTTCTTCGTAAGGTTTTGCATCGGAATAATTTTTGACGTGTTCCCTTTTAAAATCGAATGATCTTCTTTCAGTTAGTCCTATGTGATTCACTCTGTAATTCCATCGAATGTGTCGTGGTTTTAAATATACATCCAAGGCTATAGGTGTGAAGCATTCATTAATGAATGCTCGCTTGCTAATCACTGCAAAATGAAAGGAAGTAAGCAGGTTTCTGATATGACTCCCCCATCCACCCCTGCCACGACAGTCATACACAACGAATTTATTCTGCTTCGTTTCTAGAAGATGTTGATGCAATTTGGTGTAATCTTCCTCCCAAGAATTCTTGCACATCTCTATGTAAGCTTTTTCATAATTAATTGCTGGCTTTGGTCTGCCACCCATTGTTTGTGGATTGACGACACTTTTCGTTTTGAGAGATTCTTTTTCTTCATTTTTTTTTTCAGTTTCGTGGACTGTTTTTGATATCTTTATAGTATCGGGAGCAACATTTATGAGGTCGTTATTTGCAATTTTATCTAAATCAAGAAAACATTAAGCTGAGTGTCATACTATTGTATGTATAATTGACTATTCTACAGGGGCCGGTTGCACGAAGGCCGAATAGCGCTATGCACCGGATAGTGATTTGAAAAACATTGAAACTACGGATATAGACTACACAAGAACTTATATAAATACTAAACTTTAATACGAGTTACGCCAATCAACGACTGATTTAACAAAGTTTGAAAAAATCAATATCCGATGGATATATAGCGCTATCCGACCTTCGTACAACCAGTCCCAGTATCATATATTTATTATTACAGTAGGCCTACGTTTGGAGATAAATATGCGGAGTTAACATTCGGGACTTCACAGTACATCATATAGCGAGCCAACTTATGACGAAACTACTATTCAAGGCTTTTTAACACATATTACAATAATCTATTGGGTATACAAAATAATGTTTCTGAATTGGTTGGATAAGATTTTTTGATTCGTTTTCTCCGAAATCAGTTTTGAGATAACAAAAATTTAATTGCTGTCACGGAGAATTAATTATTAAAAATGCGCGTGCCGGCTCGTTCTGTACGATGGAGATTAAAATTCAAATGAGAATATTTTTGTCAATTTTATGTCACCACCTACAAACTCAGAGATGTATAGAAGCTTCTTATGTCTTGCTATATCTTAAAAGATTCGTTAAAATCAGAGTTGATATATAGTTAGCAGATATAATGGCTGAAATTTGACTGTTTACAATGCCTATTTTGAGATTTAACCATGCATGCAGTAAATCTTTTGATGAAAAAGATGTCATAAATATAACAATCTGTGATATTTTTGCAACTTACTCTTAAAACAGGATTAATGTTAACAAACCAATTCCCTTTGCAACTCAAGTTAGCTAAAATCCGATTTTTGCAAATATGCAGGGCGCATTGTTGATTAATTAAAACTTTGTGTCCGCCACCACAATTTTTGAGAAAGTATTTTAATCTCCCAAATTTCATTTAATTTAAATAAAACTTTAATCAGAGAGGTCATTATTTATGGAGAGGGGGGTTGGTAAATGGGAGGGTGGGGCAAACGAAGTTTTACACTTATAAATAGGGTGGGGGGGGTGAAAAAAGTTTTAACCTAGAGAAAGGGGGGGTCAAAAAAGCTTTTGAACTTAAATACCATGTCTAAAGTTCTGATTTCTATAAACACAAACATAATGCCAACGAGGTAAAGAAAGAAGACTCTGAAAATGCCGTTTCCAACGATCTAGAGACTCGAAATTTTCAAAATTTCCCTGCTCGGCGCCAACCATGTATTTACATAAACATATCATGCAAGAAGTACTTAACTGATCAGATTCGGTCTATCAAAGCAATCAATGAACTACTTCATAGAAATAAAACTAAAACAAAAATTCCTGACGCGTTTTTACTGAAGAATTCAAACATCAATGTTACAAACCCGGCCGTTCATATTGCAAACAAATTTAATGAATACTTTGTAAGTGTCGGACCACAACTAGCTAAAAAAATTCCTAAGGACAGCAACACATCATTTGAAAGCTACCTTAAGGGCAATTATGTTGAAAGTATGTTTATTGAACCTGTAACCGAAAATGAATTGCTAAATGAAATTATTAATTTAAATGAAAATAAAAGTGCAGGCCACGATGAAATAAATGCAAAAATGATAAAAGCAATAAACTCTGAAATACTTAAACCTTTAACTTACATCTATAATTTAACCTTCCTGACAGGGAAGATTCCAAAATTTCTAAAAATTGCCTTGGTTACACCTATTTTTAAAGCGAATGAGAGTAATCTTTTCGAGAACTATAGACCGATTTCGGTTTTGACTTGTTTTTCAAAATTACTTGAGAAACTTATGTATAAACGACTATATAATTATGTCGAAAAACAAAAAAAAACTAACTAAACATCAATATGGATTTCGCAGAAATAGATCTACTGAACATGCCATTCTAGAACTAACCGATAAAATTTCTAATGCAATGGATGAAGGAAAATAGGCTATTAGTAAAACACGGAGCACGGAGCACACAGAGCACGGAGTACGGAGCACACGGAGCAAGGAGCCACGGAGCACGGAGCACACGGAGCACGGAGCACACGGAGCACGGAGCACACGAACTACGGAGCAGTAGAAAAACGAAAATCCTTTATAATAAAATACACTGTTTACTACAAATTTTTATTACAAATTTTTGTTCTTATTAATAAAGTTTTTTCGCGTTTTACACGTTGAGGAAGTAGAAAAATGGGGCTTTTACTGCACATATGATGCAAAACTGCCAAAAACCATAGTATTTAAAATAGGATTGTGCCTGTGAAACTCGTTATCTTATCTATCAAGCTTATGAGTTATGTAGTTATATTATATTCCGATGGCCAACGCATTAAGAAACACTTAGAGAACAGCCGATATATTTCGTTACCCCTGCCAAAAAATAGCCAAGTAGTCATCTTTCAATGTAGCGGATCGACTGAACATTATAAAAGCTTGTCATGGAGAGAAGTGAATTTTCGCTTTATCCTTCGTCCCAGTGACCAGTGAGCAGTGTGCTGTACGGCCTACGCCGGTTTAAACCGTTATACGTAATTACTGCTTTCGTTCTTTCAATCCGGTCCGTTTTGAATATTCGGAATCATTCACTATTATATTATAAAACTGTATATAAGATAGCTGTAGAACTATAAATGCTGTAGAATAAAATAAATAAAGAAAACTACGTTTTATCGCGGTATTTGCCGATAAATCGGTAACCGCTACAGAAAAACAGAACAAATTACAGTAAATCACAACAAACCGCGGAAGTGGGACAATTTTTGTATTTTTACTGTAAGACATATGCAGAACATGTACGAAATCCATACAGAAGTGTGTGTGTATTCTATACTTTTGAAACAACTAAATCAGACTTCGGAAAATTTGACAGTATTAAAGCTACTTTTGAGAATTTAGATTTTAGGTCTTTGTTTTACATGTCCCAGTAAATATTTTTGAGTTTTGAACTTTGATTCTCACAAGCTTTAATACAATTTGTTTACAATTTACTCTGCCTCTGGCTCAGAGTTGATCGGAATTGTAACAAATTAATACTGTAATTTGTTCTGTTTTTCTGTAGCGATTACCGATTTATCGGCAAATACCGCGATTTGAAAACTTACTTTTCTTTATTTATTTGATTCTACAGCATTTATAGTTCTACAGCTATCTTATACAGTTTTATAATATTGTGAATGATTCCGAATATTCAAAACGAATTGAAAGAATGAAAGCAGTAATGTCTAATGATGTACTGTATAACGGTTTAAACTTAGCCGGCCGTACAGCTCACTGCCACCGGTCACTGAGCCGAAGGATAAACCGAAAATTCACTTTTCTCATCACAAGATTTAATGTTCAGTCGATCCGCTACATTGAAAGATGAGTATACTTGGCTATTTTTTGGCAGGGGTAACGAAATATATCGTTGCCCATCGGAATATAATATAACTACATAAGCTTGATAGATGTAAGATAACGAGTTTCACAATCCCATTTTAAATACTATGGCTTTTGGCAGCCTGGTTTTGCATCATATGTGTTTTTCAGTAAAAGCCCCATTTTCCTACTTCCCCAACGCGTAATACGCGAAAAAACTTTGTTAATAATAACAAAAATTTGTAATAGTAAACAGTGTATTTTATTATAAAGGATTTTCGTTTTTCTACTGCTCCGTACTTCTTGTGCTCCGTGCTCCGTGTGCTCCGTACTCCGTGTGCTCCGTGCTCCGTGTGCTCCGTGCTCCGTGTGCTCCGTGCTCCGTGTTTTACTAATAGCGGTGCTAATGAGGTTGAGTGATTTTTTCTAAAGCCATATTGATTTTTAAATAATATCTGATTAACATTTATATAGTTCATTAAACGGTTGTGCACAACTCTTTCCAGAATTTTGGAAAAAAATGGTAAAACAGATATTGGTCTATAATTAGAAAACAGACGATTGTCACCTGATTTAAAAATTGGTATTATACGTGCAATTTTCATCTTATCTGGAACAATACCAGTTTCGATAGACAAATTTACGAGTTTGCAAAGAGGTTCAGAAATAAGATCAATACTGTTTTTTACTATCCATACAGGGATTTTATCATAGCCGGCAGCAGAGCCAGAACGAAGTGACCTCACTATTTCAATGATTTCAGATTCAGAAGCTGGCTCAAGAAATATAGTCTTTGCAAAATTACCACCAAGATAGGAACTGGCAGTCTTAAGTGTAGTTGGTATTTGTTTGGCTAAGTTAGGTCCAATATTAGTAAAATAGTCACAGAAACGATTAGCTATCACGGTTGGATCAGTGATATCATAATTGTTGGATACGAAAAGTGAGGGTAACTTACTTGGACGTTTTTTCCTATTAGTCACTTCGTTTAGGATCTGCCATGTCTCTTTGATATCAGAAGTCGCACGTTTTAATTTTGTTTCGAAATATAAACGTTTAGCTATTCGGATTGAATGATTTAGTTTATTTTTAAAGTCAATATAGGTTTTTTTATTTTTAAAACTCGGTTTCCTCAGATATTTCTTATAGAGTTTATTCTTTCTTTTTATTGATGTTAAAAGGCCGTTGGTCATCCATGGTTTAGAAAAATTAGTAGAACACACTTTTTGCCTGCGCAGCGGAAAACAAGTGTCAAAAATTTCAGAAAATTCATGTAGAAATTTGCTGTACGAATTAATTGGGTCATTCAATCCGCAAATACCCATCCAATCTGTATTCCCGAGTTTGTCACGAAACTTTGACACTTGTGTTTATCGCGAATAACAACCCAGTTACCCACATCTGATGGATTGGCTTGCTCATACGCATGTGGTGGTAAACGAAAAATCGGCAAATGATCAGAAATATCATTGAAGAACAAACCACTAAAACAGCAATTATCCAAGTTGTTTGTAAATATATTATCAATTAACGTCGCATTATAGGAAGTAATTCTTGTGGGACGTGTAATTAATGGAAAAAACATATTAGAATACATGATATCCATGAATTCACTTGTCAGTTTATGATTTTGACAGTTCAATTAATTAAGGTTAAAATCACCCATTATATAACAAGTTTTATTTTCTCTAGAGATTATATTTATTAAGGAATCCGTATTTGTATTGAATTCATTAATATTTTGACAAGGAGGGCGGTAAACAACACCGACAATAACGTTTTTCCCTCTGGGCTTAAGAATTTCGATAAACAAAGACTCAGCACAATCGTTATTGTTATAAATTAAATCTTTACGCACTTTATAATTAAAATTGGCTGAAAAATATAATCCAACACCACCGCCTGCTCTATTATGACGGTGATTATGAATAAAATTATAGCCATGCAGGGATTTCAAAGGAATTCTCCGAGGATTGTAGCCAGGTTTCAGAGAGGGCAATGAATGAAAATTTATGATCAATATTCCCCAAAAAATTAGAAAAAGTATCAAAGTTCCTTGACAAACTCCGAATATTAATATGAAGGAAAGATAAATCGTTAGAAGTTTCCTCAATATGTAATTTTTCATTAAATTTATGCTCGGTATAATAATCGCAGTTATTAACGTCTTGATAAAAATTAGAGTCAGGGTCAATTTGACCAAAATTTGCAAGATTTTTCTTGGCACCAATCGAAGAACTTAATGGGTTGTAAATCAGGGTAGATAGTCTGTCTTCATCAAAATTTACAGGGCCATTTTGTAATTCAAATATCATGTGCCTAAACTCGGCATCACCTAGGTTATGAAATGGTAATGTATCGTCCAGTAAATCGAATAATATCAATAAATAATAGTAAGGAATAAATAACCACACAAAGTGCACTTAGCTTATGTAAAACTGGCTTTAAAGTTGTCAAAATCTTTCGCTGACCCAAATGAAATTGTCGGTCTTCTTCATCTTTCTTCAAATATGGTAATGTAAGTCCACTGCTGTTTATCTGAATTTGCAAGCCACAAATTGACGTTTAACTATGATTATTGCATGGCCATTTTCTTGTGGAATATTAGTGATAGGCACTTCACACTTACCAATGACCACCCCCAAAAGTATCATCTCTGAACCATATAAGCACCTCAGAATAGCCAAAGCTTTTATGGTTTGGTAGATAGCAGTATGGCGAAAGCGTCGTTTTTGGGTGTGGTCAGTTTCGGACGTTTTGCCCCGGATTGGGGTTCGGGCAGCATTACCATGTTGACCGTCATGGTCAACTTACCCTAAAACAGTTGAGATTATCTGTCCTAAATGAAATGCATACAAACACATATACAGGTCCTCGACTACTCCCAATTTTAAACATTAATATCTCCGTGAATTTTCAAGTGAAATACAACTGTAATGTATCAAAATCTAAGTTAGTCCTTCTATTTGATGCAAGTTATTTCTTTTTAAAAGTTTTACTTGTTTAGAAGTTATATATATATATATATATATATATATATATATATATATATATATATATATATATATATATATATATATATATATATATGTATTATATATTTGTATATTGAATAACCACTGCCTTAAATTTCAGAATCATCCTGGAGATACCAAAAACCAGTTTCATATTATTCTTATGAAACTAGTTTTTCGTTTCTCTCAGGATGGTTCTGAAATATAATTGAAACACTGCGCGTTGTCTAAGACAAGCGTCAAGTCGCCGCGAAAATATTTCGTGCACTTAAATTGGATAAAGACTCACTACCAATCCCCGTTGACTTGATAGTTCAATGGGTAGAGCGGCGGTCTAGATACGTGAAGATGCGAGTTCAAATCCCGCTCGAGCCAACAAATTTTTCGTTGCTCTAATGCAGTGTCAGAATAATATGAAACAGCCCTAAATTTTCTTTCAAAGTGCATGATTATTAAAATTGGCAATGGAAGTAATTAGTGCAATGGCATTCATTGTTATGTCCTTTTCTCTTATTCAGCCGATTGTGGTACCGGATGCGATAATGGTGGAAGCTGCACAGGACCTGGAACATGCAGCTGCAGAAGTGGTTGGACTGGAACCAAATGTCAATCAGGTAAAATGCGTTGCCTGGGCTTCAGTTACGCAATTGTACGTTAGGGCAAGCGTCTTTCTAGAGCATTTATCATAGCATTTCAGAGCAAGTTCCTTTCATCATTGACAGGGCCGTCCTCAGGAAATTCTTCAGGGGGGGTGTAATTAAATTCAACCGACTGGTTCAAAAAATTTCGGTCAGTGTACCATTTTAGGGGTCCAAAACAATTTTTCAGGACGTACAAAATTTTTCCGGAACATTCAAAAATTTTTCGCACATAGCAAATTTTCAACATTTTTTAACATTTTTCCAAAATTTTTACATTTTTCCTCAAAATTTTCCTAAAATTACCACCACGTTCTTGCCCTTTGCGCCAAAAATATTTAACCCAAGTAGCAGTTCTACCGACTGAATAGCAGTCCTACCGACTGAATAGCAGTCCTGCCGACTAAATACAATTACTGGGGGGGTGTCACACCCCCCCACACCCCCCGTAGCTCCGGGCCTGATCATTGAGAGGGTGGATTTGATTCGCGCCGCGTATACATGACACTCATATGAAAAGAATTAGTTAACGCTCTACCAATAGTCATGGGTTTTCTTCGAGTACTCTGGTTCCCCCACAAAGAATGCTGAAAGGATGGGTTGGGATAATCCCCAAATATACCCTTTTAGCGTAGCCTATCTATGCTCCGTGGTCAAACGTTGGCGAAAAAGCGGCTACAAGGTAAGTAAAAAGGTGGCTCTGGAACCACCCTAACTTAGAATTTCTTCGACTTGATCAGGTTGAGATGCGTCGTTTGCAATCCATCTTAGTTCTCAGCTGCAAGTAAGGATGATTAACAAACACTTACCTTGTTATGGCCGGACATACAAACGGTTTACAAAATCTATTTTTTTTAATCTTATTCCATAAATCGTAATTTGTTTATTTCTATGCAGCTGATTGTGGTTCCGGATGCAAAAATGGTGGAAGCTGCACCGCACCTAAAAAATGTAGCTGTAAGAGTGGTTGGACAGGAAACAGATGTGAATATGGTAAAAGTTGTTGCCGGGGCTTTGATGGAGCAATTGTCAGAGCATGCGTATTTCGATCGCTGAGTGCGTGGGTTTGATTTCGCCGCGGACACATAATACTTATCTGAAAAAAAATATTCAACGCTCTACCACAGAGTAGAAAATAGACCAGAAGTCTCACTGTGCACCTTTTCCTAACATTTTCGTGTCCGCGTTTTTTGCCTTGCGGATCACGAATTTCGCACGCTAGATGACGTGTGCGACACTTGCTGCGAACATTACGTCAGCGTTCGTCAGCGTCATTTTCTCAAATCAACGGTTTTTCTTGAAATTTGCAAAACATGCTGAAAGTGTACGCTGCACATTCTGCAATAATTGTGCAAATATTTTAAGCTTTTGTTTTTACGCCGTGTCTTCCTGTTGCGATAACCCATTATTTGGACCTGTGGCATTTAAAAACAGTTAAAACAGCAGTCATTATGAAACATATTGATGGAAATTGATGGCGTTGCTCGCGTTTGATGGCGTCATGATTACACTTGCTGACTCGCGCTTGCGCATAAAAAATCTCGGACATTATTTTGCCCAAGTGAGGCTTCTGGTCTATTTTCTATTTTGTGGCTCTACCGAAAGTTAACACGTTCTACGATAGGGTTGCATATTCTATTTAGCCTAATTTTTAGATAAATGCCTACATATCAGCTCATATCGTCAAAAACCGGGCATAATTTGTTTCCGTCTTGCAGAATCAAGCTAATTTATTAAAAATAGTCCAGAAAAATATCAATTCTGGAACTATTGCAGGGGAATGATCAAATCTGTCCAAATGGGATAGATCCAATGCAATTACAAAACATTTATGTAGGAGTAATTGGAGAAGTGGTTTTGAATGCGTTCAACAGCACTCGTTTTTGAATACATCGAAAACCGCCTAACATAACATAAAAAAACAAGTAAACAGTAAATACACACTTTGACTTGACAACAGATTAAAAAACCTTTATTTACCCACTTTATTAAGATACATTATATACAATAAAGGCAATAATATACAAGGAATCTATGGTACGAATATGCTATAATTTACAATAGTTTTGGTTAAGATAGCATCAGCTAAGGGAAATGGAAATCAATTTACCGATTTTAGCGCTAATGAAAATGGTTCTGGATGCATCCAAAACCAATCCCTAGACAAATTAGGCAATTCATAGCTCATGAGAATGGTTTTGGACGCGTCCAATACCAACCCTGTAGGAAAATGCAAATCAATTTGCCGATATGTCCAAAACTATCCTAGAGAAATGCAAACCAATTCGCTGATTTTAGCAAAAAATCTCCAGACAAATGAAAACAAATCAGCCGATTTTGGTGCGTTTGGAAATGGTTTTAGATGCATCCAAAACCAATCTCTAAACAAGTGCAAACAAATTGGCCAATTTATACCTCATGAGAATGGTTTTGGACGCGTCCAAAACCAACCCTGCAAGAAAATGGAAATCAATTTACCGATTTTAGCACTAGTGAAAATGGTTTGGATGCATCTAAGACCAATCTCTAGACAAATTAGCCAATTTATAGCTCATGAGAATGGTTTCGGACGCGTCCAAAACCAACCCTGCGAGAAAATGCAAATCAATTGATCAATATGTCCAAAACTATCCTGGAGAAATGCAAACCAATTCGCTGATTTTAGCAAAAAATCCCCAGACAAATGAAAACAAATCAGCCGATTTTAGTGCTTTTGAAAATGGTTTTAGATGCGTCCAAAACCAATCCCTAGACAAATTTGCCAATGTATAGCTCATCAGAATGGTTTTGGATGCGTCCAAAACCAACCCTCCAGGAAAATGCAAATCAATTCACCAATTTTAGCGCCAATGAAATTGTGTTTGGATGCATCTAAAACCAATCTCTAGACAAATGCAAACAAATTAGCCAATTTATAGCTCATGAGAATGGTTTCGGACGCGTCCAAAACCAACCCTGCGAGAAAATGCAAATCAATTGACCAATATGTCCAAAACTATCCTGGGGAAATGCAAACCAATTCGCTGATTTTAGCAAAAAATCCCCAGGAAATGAAAACAAATCAGCCGATTTTAGTGCTTTTGAAAATGGTTTTAGATGCGTCCAAAACCAATCCCTAGACAAATTTGCCAATGTATAGCTCATCAGAATGGTTTTGGATGCGTCGAAAACCAACCCTGCAGGAAAATGCAATTCAATTCACCAATTTTAGCGCTAATGAAAATGGTTTTGGATGCATCCAAAACCAATGCTTAGACAAATGCAAACAAATTAGCTAATTTATAGCTCATGAGAATAGTTTCGGATGCGTCCAAAACCAACCCTGCAAGATAATGCAAATCAATTGACCAATATGTCCAAAACTATCCTGGAGAAATGCAAACCAATTCGCTGATTTTAGCAAAAAATCCCCAGACAAATCAGCCGATTTTAGTGCATTTGGAAATGGTTTTAGATGCATCCAAAACCAATCTCTAGGCAAAAGCCAACAAATTAGCCAATTTAAAGCTCATGAGAATGGTTTTGGATGCGTCCAAAACCAACCCTGCAGGAAAATGCAAATCAATTCACCAATTTTAGCGCTAATGAAAATGGTTTTGGATGCATCTAAAACCAATCCCTAGACAAATGCAAACAAATTAGCCAATTTATAGCTCATGAGAATGGTTTTGGACGCGTCCAAAACCAACCCTGCGAGAAAATGCAAATCAATTGACCAATATGTCCAAAACTATCCTGGAGAAATGGAAACCAATTCGCCGATTTTAGCAAAAAATCCCCAGACAAATCAGCCGATTTTAGTGCATTTGGAAATGGTTTTAGATGCATCCAAAACCAATCTCTAGGCAAAAGCGAACAAATTAGCCAATTTAAAGCTCATGAGAATGGTTTTGGATGCGTCCAAAACCAACCCTGCAGGAAAATGCAAATCAATTGACCAATATGTCCAAAACTATCCTGGAGAAATGGAAACCAATTCGCTGGTTTTAGCAAAAAATCCTCAGACAAATCAGCCGATTTTAGCGCTTATGGAAATGGTTTTGGATGCGCCAAAACCAATGCTTAGACAAATGCAAACAAATTAGCTAATTTATAGCTCATGACAATGGTTTCGGATGCGTCCAAAACCAACCCTGCGAGATAATGCAAATCAATTGACCAATATGTCCAAAACTATCCTGGAGAAATGCAAACCAATTCGCTGATTTTAGCAAAAAATCCCCAGACAAATCAGCCGATTTTAGTGCATTTGGAAATGGTTTTAGATGCATCCAAAACCAATCTCTAGACAAAAGCGAACAAATTAGCCAATTTAAAGCTCATGAGAATGGTTTTGGATGCATCCAAAACCAACCCTGCAGGAAAATGCAAATCAATTCACCAATTTTAGCGCTAATGAAAATGGTTTTGGATGCATCTAAAACCAATCCCTAGACAAATGCAAACAAATTAACCAATTTATAGCTTATGAGAATGGTTTTGGACGCGTCCAAAACCAACCCCTGCGAGAAAATGCAAATCAATTGACCAATATGTCCAAAACTATCCTGGAGAAATGGAAACCAATTCGCTGATTTTAGCAAAAAATCCCCAGACAAATCAGCCGATTTTAGTGCATTTGGAAATGGTTTTGGATGCGTCCAAAACCAATGCTTAGACAAATGCAAACAAATTAGCTAATTTATAGCTCATGAGAATGGTTTCGGATGCGTCCAAAACCAACCCTGCGAGATAATGCAAATCAATTGACCAATATGTCCAAACTATCCTGGAGAAATGGAAACCAATTCGCTGATTTTAGCAAAAAATCCCCAGACAAATCAGCCGATTTTAGCGCTTATGGAAATGGTTTTGGATGCGTCCAAAACCAATGCTTAGACAAATGCAAACAAATTAGCTAATTTATAGCTCATGAGAATGGTTTCGGATGCGTCCAAAACCAACCCTGCGAGATAATGCAAATCAATTGACCAATATGTCCAAAACTATCCTGGAGAAATGGAAACCAATTCGCTGATTTTAGCAAAAAATTCCCAGACAAATCAGCCGATTTTAGCGCTTATGGAAATGGTTTTGGATGCTTCCAAAACCAATCTCTTGGATGCATCCCAAACCATTTTAAATCGGTAAATTGATGTCCATTTTATTTTGGATCGGTTTTGGACGCATCCAGAACCATCCTCATGAGCTATAAATTGGCTAATTTGTTTGCATTTGTCTAGGGATTGGTTCTGGACGCAACCAGAACCAATTTCATTACTGCTAAAATCAGGAAATTGATTTCCATTTTCTTATATGATTGGTTTTGGATGCATCCAAAACCATTCTCATGAGCTACATATATATTGGCTAATTTTCCTGCATTTGTCCAGGGATTGGTTTTGGATGCATCCAAAACCAATCCCTAGACAAATGCAAACAATTTATAGCTCATGAGAATGGTTTTGGAGGCGTCCAAAACCAATCCTATTGGAAAATGGAAATCATTTTACAGATTTTAGCGCCAATGAAAATGGTTTTGGATGCATCCAAAACCAATCCTAGACAAATGCAAATAAATTTGGCGGTTTCACAGTTTACGAAAATTGTTTGGGTGTGTCCAAAACCAATTTGATAAGAATATGGAGCCTAATCGACCAATTTTCTGTAAGTGATTATGAAAATGGTTTTGGATGTATTCAAAACGAAACCTAGAATTAATTATATAAGCTGTTA